GGTTGGTTGTGTTTGTTTTGCGATAAGCTAGTCGACTTTTGTATTATCGGGCACTCTATGAAATGCGCAGAGGCGCGATCGAAACTTGAAGGATGCGCATAAATAACTACATACAAGTATGTACATACAAGTATGTACATACAAGTATGTACATACAAGTATATAAAGTATGTTTAAATACATACAAGCACAATTTGGAAAACGGTTTGGGGCTTCCATTAACATCTTGAACTCAGCTCTGCTCTGTGAATTATAAATGAGGCCAATAATGGTAGCGGTATAGAGCACAGAGTCGTATTTTTTTAATGCTTTGTAATATAACGTTTGTTCCACTCACCCGAGCAAAAGTTCAAATGGACGCTGGAGTTTACAGGGAACTTACGGGCAACCCATATACTCGTAATCATGTGTGTAATGTGAGGTATCGCTGGACATGACCACGGCACGGTGCGCTTACTTGCTCTGATGTGGGTAGGTTTTCATGAGCACTTGCCCCTTGCCTTATATAGTATGTTTACGCAGCTCATTTAATTTACACTTTACGAATAGTGTTCGTGGTTCACGATGGTGGTTCTACCGGGGAGGCCAACATAATTATAGTTACATACAGTTTGTCAAGAAAGTTTTTTTACATGACGAATAAATGGGGGTTTGCTCTCTCTTCCGCCTCGAAGATACAATAAACAAGAAAGGAATGCTAAAGTCGAGCAGGCTCAACGCTTAAATACCCTGTACCACCCCACAAAAAAGTAATTCAATTAATTAATTAATTTAATTAAATTAATTAACTAAATTAATTTAAATAATTAACTAAATTAAATATAAAATATTCCATGCATGCTTACATACATTTACATCAGAATCGTGCCTTATGCGTGTTTGTGTACTTGTACATATGTATGTATGTGTGCATTGGGCCTGGTTATATGGCTATAACTTTTTTTTCGATCATTCTATCATAATGAAACTTGGTATACGGATATATAATCACTAACTGGATGTGTCTATCAAATTTTAGTTCAAAATTCCAAGAATTACGGGAGTTATAGAAAATCGTGAATAGGGGGGGAGTGGGGGGGTGCATCGGGAAAAAACTCGTCCTTTCTCGGGCTCAGGAGAATCTGTATACCAAGTTTGGTTATTCTAGCTCTTATACTTTCGGAGATCCTTGCGTTCATACAGACAGACAGACGGACATGGCTATATCGACTCGGCTTGTCATGCTGATCAAGAATATATATATACTTTGTGGGGTCTACCAAGCCTCCTTCTGTGTGTTCCATGTGCACTCACACAAAACTTATATACCCTTGTACCCTTTGGGTACAGGGTATAAAAATGTTTTAAATATCTCAATATTGTTTGGACTATTGACTACTGAACGACAATATCCAATTCCGCAACTACTAACCCATTGCTTCGCAAATCATGTTCTAAATGAAACTTGAACTGCATTTGTAGGATAAATTAAATAACTTATGAAGCAACCTAAATGGTATACATATTTTTATCATAAGTCGAGGAACTTGGACACTTCTCTCTGAAATATTTTCTATATTATGGCAAAAAACAAAAATAGACTAAAGTCCAAAAAATATCAAAACCAGCTGAACGGTTATTAAGAAACCATTTGGTTTGGCCGAGAAACAAACATTCTTCGAGAGCCATTTACTCTTACATAGAAATAAACGTTTGATATTTGTTAGAACAGCAGAATGGATATGTGAATGATGTCATATTTTGCGATGAATCATAAGTGTTGTTTCACTACAACGAAGTTCCTACTATAAAGTTATAAGCCTTTACAAGCATTAGAAAAACAAACACAATTCCCAATTTTTTTAAATTTAAGCAAAAAATTATGACACCGATTAATCAATCAACCTAAGGTAAGTAATTTGTAAAAAAAAACTTTTTGAATAGTATAATAGTTTGCATCTCTTTCTTTTTTATATGTTTGAAATTGTAAATAGATCACACATATAATTACTTAATTAAAAAAGATTTTTTTGCATAATAATAATAAACAAACAATAAAATTAAGTGAATAAAAAAACTAGTGGAGAAGTTAAAGGCGGATGTCTCGATTTTGAAACACTGTGTACATATGTGTAGATTAATTATAGAAATTAAAAAAAAAATTTGTTCCATCGATTTTACTCCTTTGGGTATTCGTATTCGTAACTGCACATTTACACATACATAGACATATTCTGTGTATTCCTAAAAGGCATCTTGGACTCAAATTTGGAGTCCTATAGTGCCAGAAATATAGATGATATGCGAATGGCGTTTCTGTAAATCCTATATAGGGGGAAGTGGGGGGAGTATCACAAAAATAAAAGAAGCTCTTATAGCGTACACACATACATATGTAGGGCATCTGCGTATAAAATTTGATGTCTCTATTTCCTATAGTCATACGGACGGACAGACAGATAGGGCTAGATCGATTCGTCTTGTCATTCTGCCCAAGAATATACGAGTCAGCCGCGCCTCCTTTTTCACCTCCCGCAAGCTTTATATACTCTTGTACATTTCATGTACAAAGTATAATTAGCTGCTAGCTAGCTAGAAAATTCATTTTTGGAAAAAAATTGAATAATGAGTGTATGTGGATTCAGCGCAGGAGAAAAAAACTTGAGTTCGTTTGTTTTTATGATGCATCATAAATATAATATCTATGGTATACGCCTTACGATCAAGATCAAAGAGATCAAATTGAGATCAAATTTGCCATCACATTTTTCAATCGTAGTATACCCATGTTTGGCTTAACCGCACAGACCAACATTTTCAAGTAACAAATGAGTGGAAAGCTATAGCAAGAATGCTTAAAGCTGTTCAGATCGAAGAGTTGCTAAATAAATTATTCAAAAAAGCTCGGGCAATATTGTAAAAAGTATATGTATAACAATAGAGAACGCTACAGTCGAGCAAACCCGACAGTAAAATAGCCTGTACTTTCCACCAAAAGGAAAATTTAAAAAAAATTAAATTATTAAAAAAAATTAATTAATTAATTGAATTAAATTAGAATACCTGTTTATGTTCAGTTTTAACAGCATACATTTACATCACGTACCTATGCGTGTTTATATGGGTGTATGTATGCAGCACAAAGTTGAACCAAAGCAGCAATAACAACAACAGCTGCGGGCAGCGCATGAGCAGCGGTTTATTTATGGCTATAACTTTCTTCAGAATTGACCTATCATGACGAAACTTGGCACACATAAGCACTAACTGGATGTAACTACCAAAATTGATTTCAAAATTCCAAGAATTACGGAAGTTATAAGAAAAATCACGAATTGCGGGGGAGTGGGGGGGGGAGGTGTATCAAAATAAAATAATAAACTTGACCTGCCTAGGGCTTAGGGGAACCTGGATGCCAAGTTTGGTAATTCTAGCTCTTATACCTTCTGAGATCCTTGCGCTCATACAGACGGACGGATGGACAGACATGGCTATATAGTCTCGGCTTGTCACCCTGATCAAGAATATATACTTTGTGGGGTCTGCCACGCCTCCTTCTGTGTGTTACATACATGCGCACAAAACTAGTATAGCCTTTCACTCTTTGGGTACAGGCTATAAAAATACAGGCCCGAAAGTTTGCGTAGAAAATAGTGGACAGTATACAGATGAACGAATATGATGATACAACAAATTAAAATGAAAATGTAGTTTGCGGTATAAACAAAATAAACCGTCACTCTCCACCCTTGCATTATCTATTAACTCATATAAAAACATAGGAACACTTACATAGGTATTGAATAAGAACGGGTAGGGGTGATTATAACGAACTGCGTCTTAGACTTCGTTTGTTGACAAATGCAGACGTTTACAGATGTCTAACGGATATGGGCATTTTATTTGCATGCCATAAAGCGAAACGTAGTACAAATAAGTTGCATGCTAATAACAAAATATGAGTGTGACTCCTCATATAACAACACTATGCAGAAAAATAAGTCCCACATACACAGACACGCTTGCATACACTGGCATGCAGCGTATAATTCATTTCAACACAATTTTCTTTGTTGTCTGTCGTTGAAACTGCGAAAAGGAAACAAAAAAGTAAAAGAACCCAAAGCGCAAATACAAACGAAATCAAGGATACAAAGCAGAACGATGTTGGAGTCGCGCTCTTCCCGACCTGCGTTTGCTGCCCTGTCGCTGTTGGCAGTGGCAGTAAACAGTTTCTTTGTCTGCGCATCGACTCCACAACAGAGCTGCGCACAAACAACATACACAGCTGATTAAGAAGAGACATCACAACAATAACAGCAGCAGCAATGATTGTGGGGGGTTTAAAAACGAAGACTACTGGCTGAAGGTATGAATGCACAGACATACATACATGCATATAAGTCTATATGTGCATACGTATGTACATATGTATATGAATGTAAATGAATGTGTGTTATGTATCTATGCATGTATGTGTGTACATACGCGCGTACATTTTAGAATACGTATGTATGAGCCTGTATTGATGCAGCGTGTCGCAGCACACAGCAAATGAGATATGAAATAAACTTAATGAAACGTGAAATAAAATCATTAACATTTGCAGTCCAGATGACGAACACAGAAGTGCGCATATAGTATGTATGTACATATGGCCATACAAACGTACATATGACGTATGTATGAATGTGTATGTATGAATTGTACCTGTGTATGTACATACATATGTATGTATGTATGTATAACTTTGTTTACATAAGCCAGTGTCTGAGCACAAAAACAAGTTCTAAATCATATTTAGAAAACTGCATTAAATATGATGAGTTATACACATATGTATGTACATATGAATGTATATATTGATTTACAGAAAGTTCAAAGTAATTAAAAGCAATTTCACTGCTTGATTATAAAAATTGCACGTAAGACAACGATGCAAGGCCTTGTGTACTAAACCGAAAGCATACAAAAAGAATGTGCAATAAAAATGGCCGACACGGTCATTTGTCTTTTCTTACCTTTTAGAAAAAGAAGTGCAAAGAAATTGCAGTGTTCTTTTGCTCGCTGTCGCTGCTCTGTAAATGTTTCAAGGCACCGTTTTTCAATGTTGAATTGATGATGTTATTGCTGGTGTTGCTGCTGCAACCAATTGCTGTGTTGGTAATCAATTTCTGCGGCATTAATTGGGCATTATTGCAGTTTATGTGCAAATTGCTGATTATCAAATAAGAAATATTGATTTAAGTGTTGATTGATGACGCTACTGCGGCTTTTACTGCCGAATCCTCTGCATCTGCCACCCACGCACTCGAAAGACTCCTACATACATATGTATGTATGTATGCACGCCCCTGCTCCACTGCATCAATTGCAAATTTTCACACACATCGATTTTTCCGCTGCATTTCTAATCTATATTGCTATCTTGCGGCGTATTTTTTTTTTATTTTTTAAAGAACTCTACTTATTATAAATGATTGCACTTACACCACACCACACCACACACACTGCTGGCTCTTTACATAATTTCACTTCATTGCCATTGCATTGCTGCAGATTTTCCTTCTTTCTTTCTTTCTTTTCCTTGAACTCTTCCGCTTTCTTTTTTCACTGCAAGTTTATTGACGTGCCAGCAAATAAAACGCAATTGAAATATGCAAAAAAATAAAACGGTATTTCTTGCATACTTTGTATACTTTGACTTTGGGCTGTCTTTATTTTGGAAAATTGATCGCTGTTGACGACGTCGAGTTGCAGCCGAATTACGCTTACATCCACAACAACAATACTTTCACCGTTGTAATTGGCGTCTCAGTTGCTGCTTTTTGCATAATTATTGCACTGGCGCGCGCACAAACACTCTCAATTGTTTATAATTTCAACATAATCGTTAAAGTTTTGGTTCACCTTCATCTGTATACAATACAACATAACACAGATAAAACACAACTAATTAAATACCACACGAATGAGACCGTAGTAGATGGAAAGGTACCAGTTTTGTATGAAAAATACTAAAAGCAGCTGATTATTTTGCTTTTATACTATTGCTCTTTGGGGCAACATTGGAATGCGCGCCAGTTGCAAATTTAAATGCTTAGAGAGGGCAGTACAAACAACTTTTTCGTCATTAAAACACAAAAAGCAGACTTTTTATTGGTATATATATTTTGTGTAATTACTTTTTCACATAATTTCTTTTTCTTTTATTTATATGTAATTTAATGTATATAAAAAGCTTGTGTAAATAAGATACTTTTTATATATATTCTGTATTTGTTTTCTATTTAGTTTTTTTTTTAAATATTAAAAATTATATGAACAATTGCTGGCCACGCGACTTCATTCCGTTAAAATATTAGAAATGAATTTGTTTAATGTTTAAACATGGTTTGGGATTTGCATTATATTATGATTAGAATACGGACTCAAATCGTGCGGTCAGCTATTGTTGTTTATACATACATACATATATGTATAGTATGTAAAATGTATATCAATGCCGTTAAAAATGTTTGTTGTTCACATGGAAACAAAATTTGATTTTACTGTGTGTGTGGCTTGGTACGGAACTAATTGTTGCATTTTACGGCATTTTATTATTCTCATGTTGATTTTTTGTATTGTTTTAGTTTTGTAACGGTTATGGTTATTTCCACTGTTGCTTGCTAATTTGCATTTAACGCTATTACAGTTTACTTTCAATTGTTAAACAAAAGTCGAGAAACGCACTACATAGATATATTAAAATACGCTGCTTTTAACTTCTTTGACTTTACACCATTGTTGTAAATATGATTTGAATTTCGTTATCTTTTTGTTTTATTAGGAAAATATATTGTGTTTTTATATACGTTTGCATATACACCTTAGTTTAGAAAAAATGAATCAGGAAAATATGCAATTCACATTTCATTTGTGTGTATGTGTGTGTGTATATAATTATTATTATTATGTATATTGTATTTGTTTATACATATTTTTAAAGTTGAACTTTGTGTGTTAGCGTTATCATTTTAATCAACTGATTGCCGTGTTAGGGGGAGCCACACCTACCGCCCGCCCCTTTTGCGAATGGCAGCGTACAAAATGTGTGTGCCGGGAAAGAGGTCTACAAGTACATATTGAGCAAGCAATTCAATCAAGGAGCAAGTAGGAACCATATCCTCGGTCCGTAATTTCATTCCTTCTTCTCTTCTCCTTCTTTTTTTGTTGTAGTGTAGGAAACCGATAGTTTGTGAAATTCTAATATAACGAATTAAGAAACATTATGGAGAGTCTCTTTGTGTCGACTAGAGGTGGTGATCCAATACTCCTGCCCATCCAAATTGTACGCTGACTATTCGCTCGAAGTGAATTTTGGCGCGTCGTACACGATTGCATAATTAATTTGTATTATTTGTATTTGTATTGTTTATGTGTAAATGTATTGTATGGGTTTGGGGTGTTTTAGAAACGGTGATCCTTCAGTTTTGTATTTTGTATGTATGTATGTACAACTAGTCCTTGTTAAAAAGACAGAGGCTTAGGCTTACATCGATACTTGCACTTTTAATTATCTTCCGTTTTTGTTTGTTTCTTTGTTTTTTTTGTTTTCTTGTGTACTCTACAAAATTTTGAACAAAGTGTAGTTTGCTTGTAGGTTTGTGTATTTATTAAAATGCTATGAAATAGTTAATTATGCACTTTATGCGAAGCCCAATATGTGTGTGTGTGTGTGTGTGTGTGTGTAGCGTCTAGGCTTGAGCTTCTAAAAAATGATTGCGCACTCTAGCGATGGGTGGTGGGGGACAAGCTACAAAAATCAGTACTACTGCTCACTTATATGTATGTATATGTTTGGGTGTGAGTGGGTGGTGCATTGTATTTTTCGATACATACGTGCAGATATATATGTATATATATGTATATATCTATGTGTTTGGGGTGAACGCATTGTGGTTCTATCGACATGTTTAGCATTTCTTCTTAAAACAACTATGTATTCGTACATATGTGTTTCTATGTAGGTGTGTGTCGGTGTCGGTGTCTGTGTGTGTGAGTGTATATGTATAGGTAGTAATTTAGCAATAAAATCTCAGTTAAATGTAGCAATTTTTGTTTGTGTTGTTATTGTTGTTGTTGTAGTTTTTGTTGTTACTTATTGAAATAATAATTATCGACATTCAATACAGTACATTAAAAATACACATACAGATGTTTTGCATAATTTAAAACTAATTCGTAAATAATTTAAAGCTAAACATAGACCATTAAATTAAAACGTTCATGTATATAGTATATATATTTTTGTTTTGTTTTCTGTTGATTGGAGAAGGGGAAGAAAGGGGAATAGTGGAGGGAGGCATATATGTATACATATCCTGGGAACTGCGCATACATTGCCTGACGGTAATACCGTAACACTAGAGCGAAAGTAGAAACAACATTGCATTACAAGTATCGTTGGATTGGTTTTCGTTATTGGATTGGCTGCAGCGAGATAAAATTCCATGTTAAAATAAACAAATTATGCATACATACATACACACATGCATTTATATAAAATTAAAATGTCTATTTAAATTAATAATTAAAAAGAAATAATCACAATGTTATGTTGATGCAAGTTTTCAAAACTCACGACCTTAAACTAGAGCTATGTTAGATTAAAATTTCGTTACTTCCATTTGTTTCGTTTCGTTTCATTGCATTTAGACATTAGAATCTTGGATTTAGGTAAATGTGTGAGTGTATCTGTGTCTGTTTGTGTGTGTTTTTGTTTTGTTGTGTTGTGTTTTCTGTGTGTTGAGTGTTGATGCTCATCCCATTGACTCGTGTGCTGTCTGTCTCTTAGGCCCTTCGGCTCGTTCCAGTTATTATTTACCAGATGCCAAGGTAGAGGCCGAGCATATACACCAACGACAGCGTCAGCGACGTTCCGATAATAAACATAACGATAAACACATCCCAACATCAGTCCGTGGCGGTTTTGCGCATTATCTTTCTGGCAAAGCCAATCGCCGTATCTCAGAGAATCTCACAACAGCGACAATAGCGTGGTCGGTGTCCTGTGGTCACAGCGGGCGGTGTAACGGGCGCGAAGTAGGCGTGCACCTTAATATTAGGTAAATGATTCTGAAATGGGGGAGGGGGACTGTGAGAAACTATCGGATACATATAGCGCCCTTTCCCCTTCAACTCACCTTTAGTTTGCGTATCGCACCGCGTGATATTAACTGGCAGTCGAACAACTCGATGCGCTGCAGATTGTGACACGACACTAAATGCTCCAGCGTCCGATCCGTTATCAAGGGGCAATTGTCCAGCTCGAGGACGGATAGGCTCTCCGCTGCACAGCTTCCGGCGGTCAACTGGCGTATGCCATCGTCCGTTATCAGTTCACAGTGGGATAGAGTCTTTAAACAGTACAAAACATATTTAGTTTAGTTACTTTTTACTTCCTAATCTCCGAGTATTTCTATACACCTAATTCTGTTTTTACACGGTAGATTGGTTCCAGTAACAACCGTGTAAGAAAAGACATTGATTATAGTATATGCAAAAATAGGTGATTGGTTCCTTATCTCTAAAGAAATATATATGCCATTTTTAATTTTCAAACCGTGTTATATCAAAATCGTGTAAAAAAGACCGTGTAAAAACAGAATTAGGTGTATATAACAAAAGTCACAACTTCCACAAAAAATAAAAATGCAAAGTATTATGAGGGGCTCGCATTGGAGAAAAATAAAGGAACAGGCATTATTTATGTTTCTATTCATTCCAATTTCAAATCGTAAGCAGAGGACTCGATGCATTATTTAGAAGCGCTATAAATATTGAATACTACTCTGAATCGTAATCAGTTCGCCTACAAAAGCAACTCTCAACGTTGAAATAGTGACGAGTAGAGCTATAAAAAGTTTTTATTAGGAATATATTATTAATCGAATTTTGATACCACAGTGCTAATAATCTATACTTGTTAAGTAATCAGTATTTTAATTAGGGAAGAATAATCAATTTTTTAATTCAAGTAGACTGCAACCAAAAAAAGAATTTTTTTTGATACGTCGAAAAAAAAAATACCGGTGCTGGGAACACTTCTTTTCAGTTTTAGCAACAAATTCTTCTTAAACATTTTTATGTGATTTTATTTGAAATTCCAATTTAAATTCTTTAGGATTGGATCTTAATACGAATGGAATGCTATAGTCGAACGGGACCAACTCTTAAATACCCTGCACCTCTATTCTATTCATTGGTTTCGAGGTATAAAATCATATACAAAATCTGTACAAAACGTATGTATGTATATCATATAACTAATTTGTATTCTTGTGGAATACTAGTATTACTTATACTATTTCATCAATTGTCTTAAACTGTATCCTTGATTCTGATAATCTGGCAATAAGTACTTGTACGTATGTTGCAAATATAAAATCGACTCCTACTGCGTGTTCGACTTACCAATTTCTCAAGACTGGGACAGCCGGTGGCCAGGTGCGCCAGCGTCAAGTCTGTAATTTGACTGCACTCCTCCAAGTCCATGCGCTCCAAGTATTTGCAATTGCGGCCCAGCGCCTGAAAGCCAATGTCGGTGAAGTTGCGACATCCAGATACCTCGAGCGTGTTCAGCTGGTGGTTGTGCTGGGAGAGCGCCATGAGCGAGAGATCAGTTAGGTCGGCGCATTTGGATACGCAAAGTTTTTGTAGTTTTGGACAGTTGGCGGCTATTTGGCGTATTGAGGCATCGCTTATAGTCTGCAAGCAAATTGAAACGAGGAATTACGGATGTGTGCGAATGCTAGGGGCAACTCAGAAAGGCAGGCGTACCTCACAGCTGTGTAAGTTTAGCACCATTAGTTCGGGACAGTATTTGGCCAGGCACGATATGGCATTGTCGTTTATCTGTTTACAACCTTTACTGCAGAATTTTCGTAGTTTGACACAACCGCGCGCCAAGGCCTCGATACCATTCTCAGAGACCAGGTGGCACCAGGACACATTGATTTCCAGCAGGTTCTATTGGTCAGGCGGAAGATAGAAGAATTATATCCAATTGTTTTGAATGTTACTTTCTAAATCATTTTTCTGACTTTGAGGAGCAATTTTTGGATAATAGACTAGAATGTCACTTACCGGACACCCATCCGATAAATACTTCAAGCTATTATCTGTTATATTGGAACATGAGTCCAGATTGATGGCCGTCAGTTTAACGCAATATCTGCTTATAGATTGTGTTGATATATCTGTGATTTTCTTACACTCCGATAGATCCAAGTGTTCGATATTGTGGCAGTGATTCGCTAGAGTTCTGCATTGTAAAATAAATGAGAATGGTGTCAATAATTATAATTGTTAGCTAAGGGACTCGCTTACCTTATGGACTGATCCCCCACCGATTGACAACCACGCAGCGACAATGATTTCAAGAAGCCGCCGCATCTTTGTGATATATTTTCAATCACAGGACCCTGTACAGGGGACAAAGGAATGCATTTGCATATACTTGTACATATACACATGTGGTCGCTATTATACTATAGTGTAGTGTGTGACATACCTCGATATCACGTTGAAAATCGAATAAATTGATTTTCTGCCAACTGGAACCGTCCAAGGCGAGCACATTCCAATATTTGCACACCTGCAGTTTTAGGTTCAGTTTAAGGTTAAATGCGTTTACATTATTTAATGCTATTGATGGAACCCACCTGTGCGCAGCGGCATAGGGATACGACATCCAAATAGGAGAAGACACGCAGGAGAACCTCCTTTGGCAGTTGCTTGATTAGCTCATCGTCGAGTTCTGTGGCGCTCAGGAATGTTTGCTGCAAATTGGCGACAGTTAGTAATGGAATCAATTTCAATATACATACAACTATGTGTGTATTCTATAAATTGTTTATGGACTATAGAAAGTTTGTCACATGTGTAATATATACATCTGTATATGTGTATGGGTGTAGGGTCTATTCATGAATTAGCAATACAAAAATTCAATTGGGAACTTAAAAATTTGATCAATTGAGGCCTCAACTGCTGACGAAATTCGAAATTTTTGAAGAACACAACAAACTAATTAACGAACAAGAGTCGAGAACACAACAAATGTGGGATGGTGGTGATAGGTTTTGTAGTTAGGAGAATTCTATATACATATGCATGTATCTATGTATGTCAGAAGGATGAAGCGCCCCCAAATTAGCGCACCAGATGCCAAAGAGTTGCGACTTTAAACAAAATTAAATCGTTTTTTGTTTTTGTTTCTGTTTCTGTTCCTATTATTATTATTATTTTTTTTTTTTTTGCTTTTTGTTTCTGATGATGATGGTGATGCTTACGGGTGCTTCCTCGTCCTCATTGTCTTCCTGTAGCTGCATGCTGTGCATTTTGCTATGCGTATTGGTAGCAACTGTGCGCTGCTTCTGCTGCTGCTCCACAACGCACACCTCCTCGCCCGGTGCGGCAGGTGAAACCGATGAGGATGAGGCCGAAGATGGTGATGAGCTGTTGTTGCTACTGTTACTGGTGGTGGTGGTTGTGGCGGTGGTTGCAGCAATGGCTGTCACTGGTGCCGCACTTCCGAAGGTCGCCGTTCGCCAAATGCTGCTGCAGATGCCACTGATTAGATTTGTGCCACCAGTATGGTTCTGATTTGTGTTACTGTTGTTGTTTAGTTGTAAGCTCAGATTACGATTAATAGTAGTATTTGTGGTGCCGCCACCGTTGTTACTGTTGCTGTTGCTGTTGCCGTTGCTGTTATTATTATTATTGTTCGATTCGCCAGTGGTGCCCAATTGGCCGCTGGCCACGCTTACGTTGGTGCTGTTCGTATTGGTGGCAGCACCGCTGCTGCTGCTGAAGCTGCCGCTTCCGCTGATGCTGCTGCTGCCACTTGGCGGGCACAACAGCTCAATGCTGCCAGCGCTGACGCCGCTGCCGATTCCAATCGCGCTGCCACTGCCACCGCCACCGCCGCCGCTATCAATGCCGCCTCCACTGCTGCCGCCACCCCCAACTGCCGTTGCGCTGTTGCCGCTGCGAGCAAACATGAAGCGTGTGTGTGAGTGTGCGTGCGCCCTTTGCTTAGACAGACAGACAAAGACGAGACAAGACAAGACAAGGCAAGGCAAGACAAGTGCACGTCTGTGGAGCTCTTCTTTGAGTCTTTGGTTCGTCTTATCACTCGCCTCTATTTAAATAAATTAAACTCTTTCGTCCACTAGCACTCGCGCTCTCTTCTTGCTCCCACACACACACACACGCGCTAGTTCTTACGCTCTTGGTCTCGTTGTTTTATTTCGTTGCTGTCGTTGGTCGTGTGAATGCACGATTAAAATATTCGCGAATTGCGTCTTCTTCAATACGTTGCTCTCCGTTTCTTCCGTCTCTTTCTCTCTGACACCCGTTCACTCCTTGGTTCAGATAATTCAAATGATCATGACGGTGTTGATGTGCACAACAACAATAACAACAGACCATATAATGCGCCGCTTCCAAATTCGTATCCAAAATTAAACGTAGGCACGTACTCCGAAATGTAATTTGTTTGTGTGCAAGAGTATGATATACATACTTACATACATATGTATGTACATGCGTATTCGTTTATCATTCAATTTCAATATTTGTGTTCCGTTTTTTAATCTCCTCTGATTATTAGGTGTTATTTTTGAACGCTTCCAAATGCCTTTACTTCGTCGCAGTCAGACGCAGTAGACGACTCATCGGAAACAGCTGATTATTGAGAAACCAGTTAAATGGCGTCAGTTGCTATTTTGGCCAGCTGGCCGAAAATTTCACCATCGAACCCAAGCCCAAGCAGTTCAATTACCTTAGGCCAGTTTTGTTGTTAGTGGTTATTGTTGCTTTTGCTGCTATTGTTGTCGTTGTAGGTTGTGCCCGCATTAGAAATAGAACAACAGAAAATGAGACATTAAAGTATCGGCCAAGGCTGTTGGCTGATTGTTAATGTGACAAGTGCTTTAATTGAAGTGCGCGCACATCACGCGCATTTGTAGTACGATATGAACAATCCATACATATGTATGTATATATGTACATATCTATATACAATATATGAGTACATACATACACACTATATACAAATGTATGCCTGTAAGCAGCCAATCAAATTCCCTCCCACCCCTTTTTTGTGAAGCAACGCACTTGCCACCAATTTGCTGAAATGAAAATCATCAGAAGCAATTTAAAAGGCAATCGAACGTGTGCGGAATTTATGAAAAAAGTACTGCCATTGACATATTGGTCGACCTTTGAATTACTCTATAAACGGATGCCCGCAATGGGCAACATCAACTTTTAGGTTTTAAATACTAAAGGGTAGACAAACTATGTTTCTGAGATTCTGAGATATTTAACAACTCAATCGATATTATGGATTCCTTGATATAGGACTTGGTGAGCAAAAAACTATCAAACTATCTATCTTGTCAGCTTAAGATAAAAACAACAAATACCTTGTTTACCATTAAAACCAGCTCTGGAATTCTAAAGGGAGAAAACTAACCGTAACAAAGTATTTTAAAAATTAATTGTTTTCAATAGATAGGATTTCATGTTTACATATATACATGTATTTACCAAATAGACGAAGCAATTAAGAGTTTAAAAATATAAATGTTTAAAAGATAACTTTTTTAGGATTTTGTAAAAACATAAAATTAACATCAAAGTCTGAAGTCCATAGAGCGCAAAATAGAACGCCCATATTCGTAGAATATTTATATTAAGTCTCCTTGTAAGTAATATAAACGTGAATGGGAATAATTGCAAAAAGAGAGAACAAACTATCATGCATATGTAATATACTCGTATGATGGCGGGCATATACATATGTACATATAATACGTTTATAATAGATTCAATAAAACGCTTGTTGCCGCATTGGAGGAGTATTCGGTGAGCGACGCTTAAGAAATGAATTGACAGCCACACATGCGAAACACAATTACACGTCATTAGTGATATTGTATTTGTTTTTTAATTGTATATAACAGGGGCATTGGTAAAGCAATAAATATGGGAATGGTAGTCTTCAAAGTTATGAGCAACACTTTTGGGGACAAAGCTCAATGGCTTATTTTTTTGTTTACGAAACTATTAAATTTTAAACTCAATCACAATTCATTTATGAACACTCAAAAAAAAAGACAAGCATGTAGCATAAGGCAAGTAATTGAGTCAAGGAATTATACAATGAATATGAGCTCTGACCGTCAGTCTCAACTAAATAGTTTCAATTCATTTCGTTTTATTTGATGACACTTTTAACTTAGCACAATGGCAAAAGCAACAGCCGTACACATTTCGCTGATTGTTATTTGCATGCTTGACCAGCAAACGCCCTGGGGAGCGAGCACATGGCGTATACGTAATGCAAAAACAAGTCCACCATATATACATACATAAAATATATACATGCATACATATGTACATAGCCACAGCCAAACACACACTCAGATGTTTTAGCAACTATTCTGGAAGCACGTAACCCAAAAACACAGGCAAAATTCACATGCAGTTTTACTAAAACAGGGGAATGCTACGAGTGGAACGAAGTCAGGAGAGAAAATCTTCAAATGATGGCAATTGATGGTTCGGGTGCATTGACTTACTTTCATCTAGACTTGACGAGAAAGGCACCTTTTCTATGCATGTCACTTTTTGACGCTGCCACAACCACCCACTCAATACCTACATACATATGTACATACATACATATCTACGTATGTACATACATACATATGTACCGAATTCGACCGTTGAGTACAAGGCAATTGATAAGCATCTGCATGTCAGAAGAAGCGGAAGAAAGCTGATGAAAGAAAGTGGGTCTAGCAAGCGGACGACAAAAGTAAACAAATAAATAATTCGTATATATACATACGTACAAATACGCGTATATAGCTGGCATTCATTAAAACGAACTTGCAGGAATTAGATCTGTCAGTAAACATCGAAGTGAATGCCATTTGCCAATAGGCACCTGTGGTGCCAATATAATCAAGCAAATCCCATTTAAGCTCCAGGTTTACATATGAGTTTATTTTTAAATTGTCGATAGTTTCGCCTGGTGGCAACAACAAAAAGTGAATAGGATTTAAGTTTTTTTATTTCCGCAAATATTTTGATTTAATAATCAAGGCTCTGGATAACTGAAGGGATTAAGTGAAAGTTGTTCAACTGGAATACATTCTAACAAGTTGCAGCAACTTCCTATTCGAATGGGCGGCCTGATGTGTATATTTTTTATCATTTGAGCTGTCATTCAACATGTTATACCTCGGTTGCGTCTTTGTAGTCTTTGTCTAAATCAATAATTGGACGTTATGGCATTATTTATAAGTTGGTTTAAATTTAGTTAATAGTTGCAAAGATGCAATTTTGGACACAACGGATTCGTATATAATTATATAATTGGAATATAGATTTAGAGTTGGTTTAGATTATAGATATGTGATATTGCTATGGTGTCTTGTACAACATGTCGATATTCGCCTGTGCTTTCGCCCAACTTTCAAACAAGCGAACGGAACGAGTGGGCAGAATGAACGGCCTCGAAAAGTGTTATGGCCGAAAAGCAAATACAGCAGCAAGTAATGTGCAAATGTACATACATATATATATATATATAGTACGTACATACATATGTATAAATATGACCCAAGTATGTAATTGCGCACATTTTATATAAGTCATGGCCACTGTGCTGCAGTCAAGTCAGCTGCTGGTCTACAGTTTAGCTCTTGAAACAAGCAGTATCAGCAACCGCGCAACTTCCCATTGGAAAAGCAACGGTACCAGTGTCTCTATATATAGTTCATGTGCATGTATAGCCTGCAGTATATAGTATGCCCGAGCCGAGCCACAGTTTAAGAGCAAGCATCCGTTTGAGCCACAATATAGTGGCTGTCACCACCCCCTACCCTAACAAATCAACACAAGGCCACAAGGTCAACGAAAACTGGGTCAGCTGTGCATTTGCCTATATAGGCACTTATGTATGTGTGTATTACATACATATGTATGTACATACATATATGTACATATGTGTGTTTATAGGAGTAGACATCTGGCCGCCCACTTCGAATAGCCACAGTTAGGGATGTTGATATTGTATACAAAAAAGTATATACATACATACATTTAATAAGCAAATAATACAACAAAAATATAAAAAACAAGTTGAACCTAAAAAATCATTTCACATAAACACGCAAATTTAAAATGCCGTCAAAGAAGACGTAGAAATAGAAACAGATTTCAAGCCTTATCGCAGAGCACAGCAATAACAAAAAAGCAGCAGAGAACACACAATAAAGTAAGCAGCACTACAAGCGTACGTAGTTAAAAGGGGTTTAGAACAAAAAAGAAAAAACAAAAAAAAATCATTAAAAACAGCTGATGACATGAATTCAAAAACAATTTTCAAGTGCAAAAAAATCGTATATACTTATAATGGAGGAATCGCAGCAAAAACAGAAAAGGTTTGCAAAGCGCAGCTATAACTACACACACACACACACACACATATTCAATTCACATACATGTGCAACAGCAATGAAAGAGCTGTGCTTGCACTGCCTTGGTCGCCAATACAAAGAGGAATAGGCAATAACACTAATACACTGGCACACTTGACACATACATATGTATGTGTGTACGTACATATGTTCGTGTATATGCAACTGCTGCGCTAGCGATTTTCATTGCGTCTCATTTTACAGAGTGTAACAAACATTAAATATGCATAATTTACACAACATTTACACACAATCGTACATATACATATACTTGTACACATGTACATAGATATGCATTTTAGGGCTAAAGATTAATTTGCTGTACCATTTGTTTATGTTTTCTGCTGCGTTGTTATATTTTTATACACTAATCGCGCCCACGCTCTCAATAATTTTCAATAGATTCTCAATAGATTTTCATCAAATTTTTCATACACTGTGCTGGAAAAACCAAACAACCAGAGCAATTGCAGACGCGCGAGACAATGACGACGCGACCGCGACCACGACGATGACTTCGATAACAACAGAGGACAGAATGAAAATGACTAGAGTCCCAGTCCCAACAACAACGACAGCGACGACAACAAAGACGAAGATGTGTTGGTGAGAGAGCAAACAGCTGAAATGCTTGCTATGCTCCAAAACTGCATGTGGGGTCACACGGACACACACATACAGACATATTTATACCAACGGCCTTACAGAGAGCGAAATCGCATGTGTGCGGGGGCGTTTGGGCGGTGCATTGCACCCCACAAAAACAGCAAACAAAAACAACCAGCAACCAGAAGTGTCAATGAGAGAGAACTACCTCTCGCTCACGTGTGTATGTATAAAAAATAGGGGGAGAGAGCGAGAGAGCCCCAAAACATTTAACAAACAAAAACAGCAACAAAACCATCTGCAACAACTGTAGGCGCCGCGCATGGAATCCAACTGATTCCATCGCTGGCAAAAGCGAATGTACTTCTCCATTTGCCGCTATGTAAATCTGCATTAACTTTTGCCATTGCGATTGCATTGGCTTTTAGGCTTAAACCAGAGCTGCCAGATTGGGCTAAAGGCGTTTTGTTATTTTAGATATGTATGTGTGTATATACATATGTATGCATATCAGTAAATAACTAAATGTATAGGCAAGTAAACGGACTTAAGCTAAAAAGTAATTTTTTAATATTAAGCTTAAGCTGCCCCTTTGTATGATTGAAATCATAATTACATTTTTATGGAAGGCTGTACCATACTTCTTAGTCATACACAAGATCCTTTTATTTTCAATGATATCAAGTATACGAACTATAGTTCTACTTATTAAAAATGAAATATGTATATTAAATAGTTCTTTAAAAAAATTGAATTTTGACATAGTTTTGAAATTTTACTATTACATAGAGAAATAATGAATAATGTTACATAGGATGGATAATAGTAAATAAATTAATATAATAATCAAGAAATAAAGCTGAAACAAATAATCAAAAAGAATTTGAAATTTGATTCGAAATTTGTAGTGTTGAACAAATTAATCAAATTTGTTGTCCAACTTGACAAATCGTATTAAATATTTTTTCAATAATAGAATGTTCAAAGTTCAATATAATACGTCTTTTAGATTAGATTTACGTTGAAAACATAACCCATAATCTTAATTTTTAAAATAAAAGCAAATAGGTCGCTTTGTAAACACAAAGTAACTAAAATAATAAGAAATTAATATACACTAACTAAAAAGTTTTCATTGCGAAAAACATTCTTTAAATTATTTTAAACTGAAGATAGAAACATTAACGCATGCAAAAGATGATGATTGAAATATGTGTAAATGAATATACATATATTCATTTATATATTAATATTTATACATATGTATGAATAAATTCATTTATGATACATCAACTGACTGATTTTTCACGCATATGTGCATACATATGTATGTATGTATTGAAAATTAACTAAACTCAAAGCCCCCTCCTTCAGTTTAGTGCATTATTAACGTTCATTAATATATTTCTGGCAGTCTCAAGTGCCCCACGAAGGTCCGACGCTTCAAACAATTTGAAAACTCTTAGACAGAATGACATTCAGCATCACATTGAGGGTTATTTAGGTATTATTTGAATACGCAAAGAACTTAAACTGAACCTCTCCTCGGGAGCGATTTTAAAGGTGGGAGGAAAGGAAGTGCGTCGAGTGCCAACGAGTTTATTGCACTTTCGATGGAGTCATTGTTAACTTTGGCCAAAAGGCAAACAAACAGGCGACAATGGGTGGCTACTTACACTTTTGGGAGTGTAAATATTTGCGAGCCAAGGGATGTTAGCTAGAGGGGGAACAAGGGAAATAGCCAACTCCAGCTTCAGGCAAAGGCAAGAAGCGCCGCAGCTAACAAAGGCAATGGCGACGCTTAAATGACTTCAAAGCACGGTCGCTAAAAACAAAGAACCGACTTCGCCATCGCCATAAAAATCAAAAGAAACTACAAAGTCATGTGCTTGGAGACACGATGATGGGGGCAAGGGCAAGCGGCCTTCTCTGACTGACTGGCTATCGTCGTTCTGTCTGATTGTCTGGGAGCGTAAGCACGCGTGAGTGTTGGGGGCACAAACAAAAGACCAAGAGCAACAACTCACACATATGTACGAGCACACACAGATACAATTGCAAACTCGAACACCAGTGCATCTTGTATATTGAAATGGACAATGAAAAGCAAGGAAGCTGTTTGTTGTTGGTTTTATTGGCTCGATTATGGCTCTATCTTCTACACATGCATCTAGATTATGCGAGAGTACGGTGTGGGTGTGTTTGTATTTGTATGCGTGCTTGAATTGCATGGCAGGCAGACAAAGCAAAGGAAGCTCGAACGCAACTACAAACACACACGCCCTCATACCAAGTAAATTCCACTCCCAGATTCCTAAATATTTAATACACTACTTATACATGCACGCCTTTTGTTTTTGTTTTGCTTATGGGGTTTTTTTTATGACAATTTCAGTATAAGTGCGCAAGTAATCGCTGCCCGTCTCAAAGTTTAGAACGAATGTGCTATCAGTTATAGATTATGTATGAATTCCTTATTGGTCCTGCTTTGGCTACTTACATCGAATCGATGACTGCGTCCTGAATTGGTCATTTTACGCGCACACGCTAATCTGCAGCAATAGGCTGTTCTTGTGGCACCCAGAATTGTAGATTGCTGATTCCGACGATTTGGATGTTCTTTGTTGACCGGACGACCGCCGGTACGCTTTCACTTCCCCTTTCGATCCTACCCACACTTATGCACATCTATATCCACAGATTGAACGCCAAATCTTGTGTGCGTTTGTTCGTATGTGTGTGTGTGTGTGTGTGACCAGGAAATTATGACTCTCGATGGCGTTGTTGTTGTACCAATTGGTAGTTGTTGCTGTTGCTGCTTCGACTGGTCGCTGCACTGCCGTTCTTTGTTCTTTTGCGTAGTTGCTGCTGCGTGCGCGTACGTTACAAATAAATTGCTATGGCAGGCACAAACACAAATACAGCTAAGCCCGCAGCCGACTCTAAAGTCATTCTAAAGAGTTGCAACTGTAATAGGGCCAATCGCTAATGCGTAAAAGAGTTTTTCCCTGTCGTGCATTTTTTTCGTTTCGCTTCTTTTACAAACACTTTTTTACACACACAAACATACCGAGCAACATAAAACCATAGAGTGAAAAACGGCAAAATTTTAGCTTTAGTGTTGATATCTTCTCGCGTACAGGACGCAACCGAGCTTTGTTAACCATTAATAACGCATAACTCAACTTTGCAACGCGCCCTATTATGAACAAATTCGCTTTGTTAATGTTTTTGGTTTCGTTTAGAGATGTGTGATAAGAACTGCACCTGCGACTTGTAACGAATACATTAGTGCCACCAATAACAACGGTGACAAAATTTAAAAGACAGCTGCAAAATCACTACCTTGTTTCTTTTGTAACGGACATATGTGTATTCCATGGACTACTGCAAAGTTATAATATTTGCTACAAAACGGCATTACAGCCATGTACCATGTTTAAATGTTACAATATGTTCAGATTCAGGAATATCCTACTTATCGTACAAGCCATTGGGTTGCAGAAAACTATATGGCAGCAAATAAGCTACAGTTCCTGTATTTGCTGAAATCTAATAGAATATGACCTAACATTTCAGTAAAAAAAAAGGGATAAACCATTCTTTGTACTATTCCTGTATTTGAGTGATAATACCAAGAGCGGAACATATTAAATAGGTTTTTAGCAGGTGTATATAGAATGAAACTTCGACTCAATTCCTATCCACATACAAATATAAGAAGAAAGCACATACTTATGTATATAAAAACTTACTTGCAGACTGATACTATACGATCGCTGGATGCACCAAAAAGCCAAAATGTTATTTCTTGATAAAAGTAAAGCTTACCTTTACTTTTACGTCTGGAATGCTAAATACACACTTGTATGAGCCATTCATTGCTATGTATTGAAAATGCGCAATCACTGATATTTGCCACTAGCTGTGATTGTTTTTACCGATAATCAAGAATTAACTGAATATTTACATTATTTGTAGTGTGTACACACTGATTTTATTCTGAGCTGGTAACCTTGTCCCAAGCCAGCTGACGCAAAGCTGTCACACTTAAGTCACAGCTGCTAAATGCATATGAAATTGGTAATGTAAAATCAGAGTTTATTTTTCGGTTTAAGGACGCAATGTGGCCGATTATAATGGCAATTTTGAGGCGTAACGCCGTTTATATAACACTACCTATTGCCGGTGTAGTTGGATTTATAGGTTATAATCTGGAGAGCTTGCTGTCGGACAAATATACACCGTACAGTCGTAAGTACAAACAGAAATATCTTTGTATGTACATGCAGAATTTAATTATATCGTGTTGCAGCTTCCATTCAGGATAACCGTGCTGCGCGCTTGAGTGAAGACGACGTTATAGATAACGCCACTAAAGTAGAAAAATTGCAACTCAGAAGTCCAGTGCTGGAGCGCAATTTGTCACCATCTTTGCAGCCAAAGGCTTGAATAATTGGTAAAAACTTATTTGTTAAATATTTATGTAATTAAAAAAATACTAATATAAAGCATTGTACATATAAAAAAAATGTGCCTAAAGTTTTTATGGTCTTTGGGCTATATTTTAACAGTCACATCCCTTGCGGGGATCGAACCCGCGACCTTTGGATTAGAAGTCCAACGCGCTATCCTCTGCGCCAAAGGGACAGGTGGAGGACGCTTTGCCAAATGACGATTACACTACAGAGTAATTTTGTTTCCGAATAACACTCGAAAGCTCAAAGCTTTCATAAATTTGTTTTCAAAAAACTACTTAACAACACATTCTAGGTGATTTTGAGAAGCTTCTATTACATTTGGTAAATTGTTCTGCTTACAAGTTTGTATATAGAAGTTTAGGGATATAAGGCCTCGGTGGCGCAGTAGGCAGCGCGTAAGTCTCATAATCTTAAGGTCGTGAGTTCGAGCCTCACCCGGGGCATGTACTTTTTTTTTAAATTGGTATTAGGTTTACAATTTTATTTAAATAGGGATTTCTTTCTTATACAAAAAACAATATAAATGCCTAACGATTAGAACTGCAATAGAAACTCCGAAGTAGTAAGTGTCACGTGCGCCAACCGTGGATGGACAACTTTTCCAGCACTCATTTGCCCATGCGTTGTATGGACCATTCCTGTTGACAGAGGGGGCAGCGATTATTTTGTTTCACCCACAGTGACATGCAGCAGTGATGAAACGAATGGTTGCATTCGCCCCAGACAACGACGCAATCCTGGCGACCGAGCACGTCGCGCTTGTTTTCCGCCTGACAACGTAGACAGGAATCTGGAAAGAATACATATTATACATACATTTATACTTGTATGAACCTGCTGAATGCAATCATTGTATAACTTAAGTGTAAATATCGTAAATAGCGTCAAATGCGACACCAGCGACATTGAACGGCAATTAGAGACCCCATCTCAATGGCGATATTTGTGTGTGACGTAAAAGTGCGCGACAGTTGTTTGGTCGAAAGGAACAGCGACAAAAAATGAGAAGATAAAGCATCAAGGCAGCTGGGCAAAATAAAAAACATATCTACACATACTATATATGTATGTATGTACATTCTTATAAAGCTCTGGTGAACATGGCATACAATTTCTAATTTGTAAACAATTAATTGGAGTCGATGGTTGGGGAAGACGCCAGATACTATACGTTATGCAAAAGGAGGCCGGTGTTATTTTAAATGTATCGGCTCGATGTCGCCGTTAAAACAATTGAATCAACTCATATCAAAATGCATGTTATGGCTGCAAACCACACTTCTTATTCTCCGATTTCCGTGATAATCTGATATGCGTGTTTTCGCGTTTTGCTTCTCTGCCAAAACTTTTCATTCAAAAAATTCACACCAAAACTGCAACACTTTTCATTCAAAATTATTACTTCAGGTTGCGAAAAAAAACAAAAACTATAAAAAGAGCCGATTGGAACAAAAAAATGGAAATATGAAGAAAACGCGAGCCTTGTCGTGAGGGAAGGTCACTGACTCTGCAGTTGGGTTTAGAGTTGGGGAAACGCATCGGCTTTCAGCCAGAGGTTTCTGAGAATTTCTACAAATTCGCTAACGCAATGTAAAAATGTTCAATCACTTGCAGGTTGGGGTGTGTGAGTGAGTTTATGTGTAGTCATCAGCTCACCTGAGCTGGCCTCAGCCGCAGCCGCAGCCGAGCGGTTGGTTGGCTCGTTGGTTGGTTGGTTGGACGGTTAGTCGGTTGGTCGATTGGCTGGTGGTGCAGGTGTTGGTGTTGACATTTCGAAATATGAACGCATTAGCAGAAATTTATACATTACATTACAAATTATAATCAACAACGTAAATGCGTCGTCGTTTAACAAGTTGGGCATCATGTATACACCGATATACATAAATAGTGAGGCAGCGGCCCAATCCCAGGTCGACATGATTCGCTGACATTGGCAAAAAAAAGAAAAAAAAAAGTAATACGGAAAAATAAAGTGCTGCCCGCATTGAATGAGTCAAAAAATAACGACAACAACCCCAAGAATTATGTTATTGCTGTTGCTTACTTTGAGAATAATCGGTGTGAAAAAGTGCAATACATTTTTATTCAATTTTGCTTCGTTTTTGATTGTAACAGAAAACCCACAACAGGAAATTGTTGACATATTTCCACGAATTTGGTGGACAAGTCAACAGCCGCTTATATGTAGGTGCGATCCATATTGAAAATGCGTTTTAAGTCAAAATGTCGTAGGAGGGTAGAATTGTGGCTTCGTGTAGGTTAATGATCGTTCAACTTTATACGTACTTACCAACCCAAGACTTCTACACTACGCTTTTTATAAGTTTTACTTCTATTTGTACTATAATGTGATAAAGCTCCATTTACTTCTAAAAAAATACCAATTCATTAGGTCAAACCTTGAACTTTAATATAAACATTTAAAGATAATAACTTTAAGCTGTTTATAAATAAATAAATAAAACAATTTTCAAAGAACTTGCACATAGTTTTAAAAATCATATTAGCATTTTAAACAATCGTGAAAATTAACTGAATGGAGAAAAAGACTGTTCTGATAGAGAAAGTCATCTCGATTGTCTGACAAAATGGATTCCTGATAAAAATTAAATTAAATTGAAATACATTATCGGTGATGGCAAATTAAAATTTTGTTTTAAAATTGGTAAAACTTTTACCGAAACGTTTCAATTGATGGAACAAGTTTATGGCGATGATTGCCTATCCCGTAGCAGAGTGCACGAGTGGTTTCAACGTTTTCAAAGTGGTCGTGAGGACATAAATGACGATCAACATGTGGGCCAATCAAAATTCGTGATCACCGAAAATTCCATCGAAACTGTGCGTGAATTTATCAAAAATCAGCCGAAATCATCATTGAAATTGATGGAAATGGAATTGAACATCTCCAAAACATCGATTTATCGCATTTTGACCGAACATTTGGGCTTACGAAAGGTGTGTGCACGGTTTGTTCCGCACAAATTGACTGACGACCAAAAATTGCTCAGAATCGATCGACGCTTGTGACCGATTTGACCAAAACTCGCATTTCAACCATTAACCACTAGCCGTATTCACCTGATATGGCACCGTGTGACTTCTACCTTTTCGGAAAAATGCATTTGCCCATGAAAGGAAAGCGTTATGCAGACGTAGAGGCCATTCAAAAGGCTTGCACTGGCATGCTGGCGGCCATACCGGCCAACGAGCTAAAACACTCGATCGACATGCTTTTGGATCGTGCAAAAAGCTGTATTGAAGCAGAAGGAGACTATTTTGAATAAAATAAATTGATTTTGCCGAAAAAACCATTTGTTCTGTTTTTTTTTTAAAGTCCTGTTTACTTTGGAACACACCTTGTATATCTTTGTAGGGGCTGCCACGCTTCGTTCTGGGTGTTCACTCGCACAGCGTATAAAAACAATAATAGTTCAATAAAAAAAATAGACAAATTTTTAAATATGTTATATAATTGGTGTAGTTAACAGTTTTTGGTACAGAACAATTATTTATGATCATATTGATATTGATCTATTCGGCACTCGATATGTCATTGTGTTTTAAAGTATCCAGAAAAAATTTCATCATACTCTGTACCCAAAAGTACATACTATATAAACGTGATATACTTACAGAAGAAGGTGTTAAATACTTGATATAAGTATATCAGCATATATCATTCGCGAAATTTCAAACAACCACATTCACGGATCCCTCAAAGAAGAACTTTACTAAGGGATTTTTACTGCAAATAGTCCAGCTCAGCAGAAGTGAAACAAATAATGACTCGCCTATTAAAATGGCAGTGGGATTTGTCGATTTAAATCAATCGGCACATTCCAGTTGGTGGTTTAAAAAATCATTAGTCTGAAAAAAAAAACAATAGTGCAAAATGCGTTCAACGCTTCACTTGCTATCCATCTGCGTGTTCTGTACTCTCCTGGCAAAAGAGACAACGGTAGGTGGCTTTTGGATACATAAACTTTTCTTACACTCTATACCTAAAAGGTACAAGGGTAGGTAGGAATGTACATATATACGATGTACAAGTATATATATTATTGATCAGCATGACACGACTAGTAATTTAGCCCTGTTTGTCCGTTCGTATGCATACCTAGATCTCAAAAACTCCAAGAGCTAGAGAAACCAAATTTTTCACACGCATTCATCATACGAGTAAGTATGTGTTTGCAGTGCAAGTGTGTTTCAAAATTGTTTTCCACTCCCACAATTCCGCTATTAGTGATTTTCCATATTTTTTGCGGGTTTTATTCGGATAGGCCGATTTGAAAGGAATAAATGTATAAATGTCTGTAGTGCACTCATACCCTCACACGAAGTATTCGTTCAATGTTTTTCCACCTTTTTAATGTGTTTCCATCCACTATAAGGGCACTCGCATGCTGAAATTCACCAATGTCAAGTGCATGGATCTGCCCACGAACAACGGTTTCACCAAATACGAGTTTTGCCGCCTAAAGGTTGTTGGCCGAAACTATGTTGAGCTCTCACTGAAATGTAGTCTCCTGAACCTGCCTATCACGAATCTGACGACCCGACTGCAGCTATTCCAGCGACGGGATGGGTATCGGCCGTTCCTCTACAATGTCTACTTTGACTTTTGTAAGCTGTTAAGCAACATGGATAGAGTATTCTCACTGGAGAGTTATATCTTCGGTGCTGTACGTAAGTACAGTAATTTCAATCAGACCTGTCCCTGGACCCAGGTTAGAAGTGCCATCAATACTTGGGATTAACATAAACTAATACTGTCTATCTGCAGAATTATATGTCCGTTGACAAATTTGCCCTGAACTTTACCACGATCAGTCTACCAGTGCCAACTGGCTATTATCGGTTTGATTTCACTTTCTATAGCTATGGAGTACCCCGCACCTTGACGCAGGTGTATTTCGAAAAACTCGAATAATTTCTATGTACCCTATGGATTTTAATATTGTTGCCCAAATTCCCACTTTTTGTTTGACCTTATACACATGCACTTTAATTAATATTATTAAAATATTTTAAATTTTTCATGCAAATTTGTGTGTATTTGTTTCTTTCTTTTGTTATTCTTCTTTTCCAATATTTGCAGCCCTTGTTATTGGATTTGTGCAACAGAGATAATACTCCTTACCTGTTTGGATAAATACGGATATTTCCCGCTACAGAAAGTCCATCAATAATTTCCATAATTTGAAGCTTCACATATATTTTGTATATCATTATAGTTATTAGTGAAACGGTCGAGCGAAGTCATTCAATCTTGTTTATATTTTCTTTAGTTAAGAGAAAATTTAATTTTCAAATGAATGGTGGAGTTTCGTAGTAGGATGTTGTATTTATTGTATTGCAATTGGTCTAGAGTTTTCGAGTATTTACTAAGTAAGAGGTATATTTGTAGTACACTATGTGCACCCAAATAGGGGTAAATATATGACATAACAAATCTCTGAATACACGCCCAGTAAAACGGCGTAAATGCTTTTAAATATAAGTAGAGTAGCTCAGCAATTAAACAAATAATAACTCGCCTATTAAAATGGCATTGAGATTTGTCGATTTAAATCAATCGGCACATTCCATGGGCTATTACTAAAATCATTAGTTCGGAAAAAAAACAATAGTGCAAAATGCGTTCAACGCTTCACTTGCTATCCATCTGTGTCTTCTGTACTCTGCTGCCAAAAGGGACTACGGTAGGTGGCTTTTGGAAACATAAATTGCATGTATACTCTGTAACTTAAAGGCTTGTGCAAAGTGAAAAATACAACAGGTAGAAGGAGGCGTGGCAGACCTCACAAAAAATGACAAGACGAGTCGTTTTAGCCATTATCTGTACGTCCGTATGATAACCTAGATCTCAGAGATTACGAGAGCAAGAGATAGGAAATTTTTCCAACAGATGCTTTAAAAGAATGTGTACGCAGTATAAGTGGATTTCATAACTCCCATAATTATATCCGGTTAGTGCTTATAGGCCAATTTTCAAGGAAGTTATAGCCTTAAATGTAATCTCTGCCCAAGCTCATAATCACGCAAAGCCACGCATTAACACAATTCCAAAATAAATGTGCGTGAGTTCGAATGTCGAAGAAGGTATAATCGATAAAGAAAACAATTTTAATCAAATTTTTTTTAAAAATTCTTTTTTGTTAACTTTTTGTAATTTTCAAAACTTTGTCAGAGTCGGATCACCCGACCTTACGTTTTTCCACTTCTTTAATGTGTTTCCATCCACTATAAGGGCACTCGCATGCTGAAATTCACAAATGTCAAGTGCATGGATCTGCCCACGAACAACGGTTTCTCCAAATACGATTTTTGCCGCCTAAAGGTTGTTGGCCGAAACTGTGTTGAGCTCTCACTGAAATGTAGTCTCCTGAACCTGCCTATCACGAATCTAACAACTCAAATGCAGTTATTCCAGCGACGGGATGGGTATCGGCCGTACCTCTACAACGTCTACTTCGACTTTTGTAAGCTGATGAACAACATGAATCGTGGCTTCTCACTGGAGCGTTATATCTTCGGAGCTGTACGCAAGAACAGTAATTTCAATCAGACCTGTCCCTGGACCGAGGTAAGAAATGCCATCAAAATTTATGATTAACACAAACTAATAAATAATTAAATAAACTAACATACCATGTCTGTCTATCTGCAGAATTATATGTCCGTTGACAAATTTGCCCTGAACTTTACCAAGATCGACCTACCGGTGCCAACTGGATATTATCGATTTGATTTCACTTTCTATAGCTATGGAATACCCCGCACCTTGACGCAGGTGTATTTCGAGAAAGTCATATAACTTTCATGTACCCATCTTTCAAGAAAGATTTGATTTTAACATTGTTGTACAAATTCCCACTATTTCTTTGGCCTAATACACAAGCACTTTAAATCCCATTATTAAAATATTTCACATTTGCCATGTACATAGGTGTGTGTTTTCGCGTCCTCCCCCGTTTCTATTCGATTTGTGCAAGGTATATAAGAAACTGAAGGAAGAATCTCCATCCCCATAACTTAAATATCTCAGCATGGCGGGAGTATCATATATTTGGATAAACGCAGCTAATCCATTGGGAATACAAGATTATTTACCATTTTCCCGCTACAGAAATTCCATCAATAATTTCTAAAATTCGAAGCTTTATAGATCACATATATATCGAGTAAAGTCATTTAATATTGTTTATATTTTCTTTAGTTTAATGAAAATTTAATTTTCAAATTAATAATGGAGTTTCTGTAGTAGGATGGTGTATTTATGGTATTGCAATTGGTACTATATTATCTATTAACTAAGTAAGGGGTATAGTATTTGTAGTTAACTATATACACTCAAATAGGGGTAAATATATGACATAACCAAACTCTGAGTGCACGCCCAGTAAAATAGCGTAAATGCTTTCAATTAATTTCAAATTTTTATCATCTTTTATAACAATTGTCTAGCAACTTAAGAGCAATCAAGAGTAAATAATCAATTATTCCAATTTCTGAATTTACGTCATTCATGTACGTATATAGTATGTTTATCGGAACGAAAATGGAGGGCTTGTCCACTTGCCCGTCGCACAGTGTTTCAGAATCCATTGGTGAACGTTTTTTAAATTTAAAAACCAATGTGCCAATCCAACAAATTTGCAACAAACTTGTTAGCAATCAAGCTAATACTTGTTTAAGTATAAATAACCACGAATTTCGCACATATCCGATACTGAACGTTAGTAAAAACAGTCAAGCTTTAAGGAGGAAACCTGAGTGTAGCCAATACAGATATACAACTTCTTGTTTTAAAATAACAGAACAAAAAACAAAAAAAAAAAACCAGATCAAATGATCATGCCAACACATACGTGTTCATTAGTTTAATTCACAATATTATCATAATTATTATTATTTATAGGTGTCTCACAAAGAACGGAAAAGATCCCATGTCTGTCTCCTATTATATAATATTAGTAGTATTCGTTTGTAAAGACATTTACTCTCGGGGAAATACAAGTATTGGAAATAAAAAATATTACCTAAAAGCCGTTTTCGAAGAAACTATCAACTTAAGTTTAGGATTATCATTGCCCTAGGACAGTCGACCATTGTCCACATTTTGTTGATAATTTTGTTTTAATATGAATTTTTAAAATGAAGAATATTATTATTGCAACACTATTGTAAGTGGTGGATCAAACACTGGAAAATATCAAATTAAAGAAAAAATATATGAATTAATTGCACTCATGGAACTGAGTTAGATTGGTTTATAATTGTATCGATTACTTTCCAGCTTATTTTAATATTGAATACCTATGTATGTTTCTCCAAAAGACACATCAGTGTAAAGTTTTATGAGGCAAGTTCTAATCCTGTTAGAAAAAAATAGTGATTCAGTAGTGAATCAGACAGGCGGAGTAGTGATTAAAACATACAGAAGGGCATTTTAATTCATCTTGATTGTGGACTAGGTCTACTTGTAGCATTCTTTCTTCTGGAAAAAACAGTGAATACCAAAGTTGCTTAATTAGCAGATTGAACTCATTCTATTCTATTTATATTATTAATGTGCTTAAGAGTCAATAATTTAATTCTAGAACTAGTTTTGTTTCAAAAAGAGGCACTTGCGCCACAACATTCCCCAAAAACAGCTCTACACCTTTTAAAAAACACTGTAACTAGTGAGTTTTGGTGCGTCATTGAAAATACTACAGTGGTTTGTTGAGTGGTTAATACACTGGGTAAATGGGGTCGTTATGGGTGTGTCTGAAAGTCAATTCAAGGACGGGCGTATTGTAACGCTGAAGATATAAAAAAATATAGTATGCAAATCGACAGTCAGACGATGAATTAACAATTTAAATGTGACCAGAACATGCCAGACTAATAAAACGTGACAGAAGCTTCAAGGCCGCCTAGACCCGTATTCGGGATCAGGTAACTGCTCGCATCTCGGCTTTATACTCTTTTTAATAGGGAATCATAGATCTAACAAAAGCAATTATGCTTCAAAATTGTCGAATTAAGGAACTTACAAGTTGAACTTTTCTCTTACGCTACAGAATCGTAATAAATAGGAGCCTGTTGCTAGAGCATTAAAGTGGTTTCAGGAACGATCTTTCCATTTAAAATATCGAGGCTATCTAAAGTTTATAACAAACTTGATCTGGATATAAATGCCAGTTTGGTGTCACTTTTTAAGCAAATCGTGACATTGATCTATACAATAAAAACGGTAAATGGAGAAAACGATTGATCGGATTCTTTACTGAGTGAATTTTTAAAGACCAAAAACTAGTCAAATATCATTATTCATATTTTTTATTATCTTATTAAAAATGCATTCTTTATACAAATATTTATACAAACATTTTCCAACAAAAAAAAAGACAACCATCAAACTCTTTATTATTTTTCATGAACATTATTTCGAAACTCTTTACTTTATGTTGTTTTAGTTTTTCCAGTTGATATCATGACTAAATAATTTAAATTATTTGGCAACTTAAAGCACCAAAGAAGTAATAAATTTTTATAAATAATTAATCAAATTTACTAACTAAACTTTTTAAGAGGTTTATAACATTTAAAACAGAATTTTTTTGGGTATTATTTATTGCTATTCTTATACGATATTATTAAAATGGTAAAAACGGATAAAGTTCTATTGGATAGATTTTTCAACACATAATTTCGCAAATTTCAAATTTCAGAATACAACCAAACTCTTAAATTTTAAAGAACATACGATCTGTTGCAACTAATTAAATAAACGAAACATTTATGCATTTCTCTTAACGTACTGTAACTCACCATCATTCGATTGCTTTAACTGTGTACTATAGAAGCGGATTTATAAAGTTCTATTGGATAGATTTTTCAACACAAAATTTCGCAAATTTCAAATTTCAGAATACAACTAAATTCTTAAATTTTAAAGATATGTTCTTTAATACTGAATACTCACATTATTAGATTTCAATTAATAAAACTAGTATCATTCGTTTGCTTTAACTGTGTACTACAGAATCTAGTAATAAAATAATGGTTCTATGGAAAAGAAAACAATTATCTTTTTGCCATTAGAATTAAGTTACGGGACTTGCAAGGGCATTGGAACTTCGCCTTGACCCACTGATGTAATTTTTTCATACTGTATAATGCCAAGGTTATGAGGGGCAGTGGAGCGGTATAAAACCAGTAGCTAAGGTATGGCAAATATTTTTATAGGATGACTCGTTCTGATGCTGCCAGACAGATGTGTAATTAAAAGTCCGGTTTCCATCCGACTTGGCGCCCATAGAGCAACTTTAATGCAAGTGGACGTCGACATGATAATTTCAAATACAAGCTGCTCGATTAGCATGCGATTAGAAGGTGGTCTCTTGCTTATATAATAAAGGTGGGACGGTGTCGGGATCAAGTTCAAGGTTGGTCCCAGGCGCGACAAAAGTAACACCTTATATCCAGAGTTTGCAGAGTGCTTTGCACATTGTTCCGATCGCCGTTATCAATACGATATCGGGAGCAGTTTATTTAAGCAATAAAAATTAATTGCGGGCACATGTGCGTCTTTTGTTTACGAATGCACATACATATGTGCATTATTAAAAAATTGTTGCGGTAGCTGTGCGCTTGTGCTTGGGGCGCTGAACGATGAACGTTCTTCATATCACGTTGCACGATTTGTTGCGGTGTTCGGCGACCACGGGCGGTGCCACCCCCCGCCCTCCCCTGAGCCCGTTAAGCACCGTAACTCGTTTGGTTTATTTTTATATGACTCGACGATGCCAATATTGATGCTGCTCTTGTTGCTTTTGTTGTAACGGTCTCGTTTACGTGACGTCACGCACGGGGGCTTGTCTTGCGAGCAAAAAAGATGTTGGAATGGAAAATAAAAAGCAACAACAAACAGCGCACAACAACAAGTTGAAACCGACGTGCCCCCAGCAATCGACGAACCAAACCGACTCGCTCTTCTCTTCGCTCTCCGAATGCGCTCTTAAGTTGATCCCCCATACACGAGTACTCGTATATGTATGTATGTGTGTATGTATGTACTATATATAAAGAGTTGTGTGTGTCTGCCGTGGTTAGCAGCTACGAGCAGCTGCAGATATCGGCTTAAGATAATGAGCAGTACGCTACGGTACAGCTGCAGATGACTAATGGAAAACTTTCCCGATCTATGGGGTATTATTCCAAAAGCAATATCGTTTAGCATAATGTTTGGCAGTAGGCGCATTTTGTAGCTCGACAAATCTCACACTTGTGACCGAATCGAAGGTGTGAGCGTTACCAACGACTTGTTAACGGCGAGCCAAAGGAAAAGTACTTGTGGAAAATATCGGATAACTCGCCATCCAATTAACAAGATTGCCGCCCACACCTTAACCACATGTGAATTGGGGACTGATAGGAAGCATATGTATATAATGCAAGGCCCTCAAAATAGATCTCTATACCCTGCACCCGAAGGCTAAAAAGGGTAAGTTATGCTGAAAGGTTATACTAATAAGTCTGAATATAAGTAACTGGCATAAGAAAGCCTGGCAGGTATAGGGCCTTCGACCTACTGCCTATCAGTCGGCCCTTCCGCTCATTTGCATCTAAACAATTATAGATTTGGACTTGTGTTGTTCATACTTCACAGACCAAGTTCCATTAAAACCTTTATTTTATTGAATACTTATAGCTGAAATAAGTACGACTGGAGCAAAAATCAGCATAAGTGGAATACCTATTTTGTATTTACAAGTTTCTTATCAAGCGTTCTTAAAAGCAACTTGTTTTTTACTGCGACATCGTAAA